TGTTGCGTAAATCCATATGCATAAACTCTGGAATGGGGATGCCCTGCTATTGAATGGAGTATCCCTGCATAACATAAATCATTAAATGGGAAGCTCTTAGAATTTGGGAATTGGGACTGTTCTTTGTCTAATAAATTTTGCTTTATAGTTTATAGTTGAATACGATTTGCTGCAATCTAAATTGTAAAAATACGAAACTTGATAATTTGAAGTGGGCTGGATCTAACCCAATTTTCACGGAAAAATGTGGACCATACTTTTAATTGAAACTCTGTCCAGTCCAGTGTTCCCACTTCCACGGAGCCCGAATTTTCGATTAATGGGCCGGAGTTAGTGCGCTTCAAATTTGGTTGGGGTATCCAGCAACACCTGGAAGGCTGGAAGCTGGAGTCTAGGCCTGCCACCCAGGCTCGATCCATGGTCAGTTTCGCCCGCTAGGCTACTACGGACCTAAGGTTATCGGAGATATCCAAAGTTTCGTCTACTCTGTTCTTTCCATTGTATCGTCGATTGGAACGGATGTTGTGTGTGCTTCAGTTTTGATAGGAAGGCACTGTTGCGTTGTTTTTGTTAAGTGGTAAAATCCCACGTCATCATCAGAGTATAAAAATAAAAAATTTATGGGTTAAATACGCGAAAGGTTAGTCTACCTAAAATCAATTGAAGGTTGGATTGCAAGTCTTATATTCAACCGTGAGTTCAAAGTAGCCATCGAAGCTGCCGTCAGTGTGTTTTCACTCCAATGCTATTCGTTTCATCTTCTTGCTGGAGGCAACCAAAATTTTTCTTTGAGGCATGTTAACAAACACCTGGAATTTCATGTTGCCAGAAATAGTTTTCAGTCTCTACAGAGCATCAAACCCTTCAAAAACCCCTTCGGGTTCCTCTTTTCCTTTGCGCCATTCGGAATCGTTGTTGCGAAAAGGAGAATTTGTCTGCTCTTCTCCTCTGAAATGTTCATATTCCGATACCACAATCTCAATTTCTGAAAACCCGTTTCTTAAACCTTTGAAAAACCTTTCTCTTGATTCACTGAAGTCAGCTCTCTTGCAATTGATCCCTATAAGTTTTGTCAAATGGTCCGCTGTATTGTCTGTAGCAATTGTAGCTTCGAAGTGGACTCTGGGTTTTGCTTTCAACCCATTCTTTTGGATGTATTTTAGTTGGACTTGGTTGTTCTGGTCCTGGTTTGTTTCTGTGCTGCTTGCAGTTTACGGGATAAATTGTTTTCGAAAGCATTCACTGGGTGAGGCCAACATATTTGAGCAACTTGCTATTGTGACGTCTGCTTTCACTTGGCTAACTCTGGTGCCTCCTGCCCATTTTAATGGCTACCTTGAAGGTTGGCCCTTTGTGTTCTTCTTCGTGTACCATTATTTCTTTTTCTTCAATGTTAGTGTAAGAAGACGATTGTATGGAGATTATTATGCTCGCCCACGTGATCCTATATGGGATCTGAACGTGCCAAAGTGGTGTAGGGTGTTTTTCTGTGCTGGAGTTATGGTTGGGCATTGGCTTGTGGCATTTGAAGCACCAGAGCTGCACAAGATACCAGGGGGCTGGAACAATGTTGGTGTTTGGATTTTGATATTCGTAACTCTGTTGGTGCACTATAATTCTACGCTGTATCTTGCCAAATACTCAGAGAAGGTTGCGGTGCCCACTGCTGTTGTGTAATTCGGACCATAAAGATATGCCCGGCATCCAATATATTAATCGGCAATGCTTCTATTTGTAGCATATTTTCTTGCACTCCGGCCACCTTTGCGCTTGCTGTTTGTTATAGCAGTTTGTTTGATGTATTATAAGCAGAAATCAAAATTGGAGGTGGCTTTAATGGTAGAGATCTTTGGAGACAGTTATTTGGAGTATGTCAGTAGAGTTAAGTACAAGTTCATACCTTTGGTGTACTAGCTTCAAAAGGTAAGCGTTTGATTCTTTGTAATCATAATTTGATTTATACTACTTGAGTTATGGAACATTAAAGGAAGTAATACATTACCTATTCGTAACAAAAATTTTAATATTTTTTCCCTTGATAAGATCTTTAAGGAAGTTTTTTCGGCTATATGGAAATTCTTTTAAGTTCAATTAGGAAAGTTATTGTGCACGTTGATGTCAATAGAGATGCCCTCAAGAAAGAGGCTATAATGGCATTCTGTGTTACCCTATTAGCAGTGCATAGGTAGTAAGCTTGGTTAATAAGGCCTTAATATAAAGCTTGTGGCTTTACGTGTTACCCTATCAGCAGTGCATAGGTAGTAAGCTTGGTTAATGAGGCCTTAATACAAGGCTTGTGGCCTTATTTGACTGGCTTATTGAAATTGAATTTATGAGCAAATATCTAAGAGATAAGACCAACCACCCATGAGAAGCCAAGGAAAGAGAATCCCAGCAAGTTAAGCATGTAATTACCACTCATCAGTTTGTTTGTCTTTTATTCAAGTTTGGGCATTGACTCTACTAATTGTACATTGGTTTTAGGTTGGATGCATTAACAGCACCTCAATAAAGACAACTAAATCATAGTCACTAACAACAGCTTGGAAATTGCATGCTTTAGTCTGTTGAACTAAATTATAATCATATTTGCACATTTTATACATTAGATAATTTTCATATCCAATTTATGAATCTGATAAAGTAGTCTCTAGATGTATTCTATTATTTAAGCAATAAATATGTGTCTTCTTATCTTTTACGTGCCTCTTAGCTCTTGAATACCTAGTGCTTGTCAAGTTTTAATCAATAGCTGGTGTTGGGTTGGAAGTTGTTCAAAAAAGTACATCAAACAAAAATGAAAATAGAGAAGGTAGGTCGGTTGCTTAAATTTTCCAACGTACCTTTTCTTGCTGCCAGTTGTTATATTTAAGACGCCAGTTAACTCTCTTTGTATAATTTCTTGAAGTGGTCACATGGTAAAATGTCTGCTGAAAGTCCCATGTTTTCTACTTTTTGCTTGTGTACAAATAAAAGTGGAAATTCAGATGATTTGGATCGTGGAAATGATTGGCCTGGGGAACTCCTGCCTTCATGACTGCTGAACAGCTGAGCATGGGCTTTCTTCTTACCTCCAGAAACCCTCATTCTGTACCTTCTACGCCTTGAAGTTGAAGGGTATCTCTGCTTGTTTAATTTATGACTCCTCTGTGTCTTTGGATTGAAAAAACGCATGACTACGGAAAGGGAAAACAAAACAGATGTGATGGAAGCTCCATCTTTCTGTAATCTTCAACTTAATTACCTAGAAAAACCATACTACCACAAAAATGAGTTGTACTTGCATTTTGTTATACCCCTTTGCCCAATTCACAGAATTGTGGCGTGAAGCAATTTGTTTGGTGGACAGTCTCTATCGTAGGGACAGGCAACAGAACCTTCCAATTTGATGAGGTCTGCAGACGACATTGTACGGGACTGGTCACCTGGATAGAGAAAACAGCTTTAAGAATGTGGAAGCCACCTCATTTGTTTGTGCTACCCAACTCATCAAGATTAATGTTGTTTGGACAATATGGCTGGCAAGAAATGATTTGATTTTCAAAAAGGAATCTGTGGAGGTGGAGAAGTTATTTGACTTAGTGTAAGTACGCTCATATCAATGGGCAAAGGATAAGATGGTTGGAGCCATGATACCCTTTTCAGAGTGGTTGGTGAACCCAAGGGGATGCTTGAACTGAGTATAGAGACACAAGTTTTAAAAGGGCTTGGACTGAAAATGAGAATGAGATTAATGTAAACAGTGCACAAAATAAAAAATGTACATGTTTAGATGTTATAGGTTCAGAGTACCTCTTGTACTCTATTAATAAAATTCTTTTTCCTGTTAAAAAAAAATGCTACCCAACTCATCAAGATGTTGACTACATCTCCTTATCCTTGGTGTGCACCACATGTTTGCTTAAAATCCTCAAAGATCCTTGCAATAGTTTCAACATTAGAGACACTCAGAGGTTCTTGCTTCCACAAGCAAACAAGCCAAATCGGTTCATTTTGTGTCTTTTCGTGTTTGTTCAAGTTTCATGCCCTTGGAAACAAGGACAATTGGTCCACTTTTGGCTTCTTATTACCGTTAAGTATTTCAAATAGGGATTCAAAGGCTTTCTTTCTCTTGACCTTGGTATATTTTGTGTTAAGAGAAAATGTAGGTTTGTGTGACCGTATCTACCAATATTTCTGCCTGTGACGAATAAATTCACTTTTTCTATATCTATATCAGGTCTAAATTAACTGATCTGTCACCCACATTTCCCTTTACCGAAACAACAAAACTTCCAAGATATCATCAATATTTTACTCAAATTTTTTTTTTTTTTTTTTTTTTGCATGAAATGTAAATTTTCATTTATCCAATAAAACTTGAATTCCAAAAACAGCAGCCAGAATAGCTGCTAAAAGGTGTAAAACTCTTAGTTAACTAGCTATCCTTTGAGACAGGTTTGATAGTTCAGCTTTTCAACATGTCACATGAAAGCTCTAGTGCCATTTATAGATCCATCTAACTACGCACTTTGATGTGCTTTTAATGTTCTAAAGATTGAAGCCTGAGTTGAAATGGGATTTTTTGGATATGACTTGTTATGTGCCAACATGCAGACATCAATTTATTCAGCAAGACTGGACTGCAAACGTGTCATATTAAGCTCCTCTCAGGGTTTTTTTGTTTCCTTCCCAGTCTCTTTTGGGTTTGCTTCAAAACTTTATACCAGTTGAACTGCAAATGATTAGAGCTTGTTTTGGCATTTAGTTGATTAAAGTTTGCTTAGGTTTTGGCCGAGGGACCTCCTATCAACTTTTGCTTGGTTCCTGTCCTGTCATTTCATTTCCTCTCTTACATTTTGCAGTAATCATGATGGACAGAATCTGGATTTCTCAAGTCCTTTCAGAATCCTTTTCCATGTAACACAGGCCACAGAAATGAAGTCATCCTAACAAACCATTGCTCCACATGAGACGTGGGGAAACAGAGGTCAGTATATCCTTCAAGTTTCTACGTTATGCCTATGATTTGGAGAATTAAGATGCTGTTGTCTTTATATTGCAATCTGACATGTGGCAGGTGTAGTTTTTACAGAAAGATGCAAGGTCCAATAGCATTGTGGGCAACTTGAGTACACTAATGTTTAAATACTAAGAGCATTTTGAAAGTCTTGGGTGGTTCATTTGCTTGTTCAAGGAACCTGATAAGAAAGAATTGGACCCTGTTTAACACCCTTTCAATTCTCACTCTCAACAAATTTCACCATCTGCATTTTTCTGGTATTCCCTGTTGGACAAGTTTTATTCTATATATCTATTGTTTTTCTACCAGAATTACTAATTACATGTGGGATGTCGTTGAAAAATGAGTGTGTGTTATCTATCTTGGAAACACTAATTGGGCATCACGCCACGTACCATTAATTCACTTTCTTGCAGACCAGAGAAAGGAAAGAAATATCTTGCAGGATGACAGCTACTTCATCCACATGCACAGCCACACACATTTGATTCTTAGAGTATACGAAGCTACGAACTTGTTTTTGAAAGGTAAATACACTTTCCTTATCCTTCTTCCAATTTTGCCTTTATTTTCATTATTGTTCATGAGAACATATTACATTGCAGCCAAACAAACTAAGAAAAAACTCATCCCCAGGACGGCCTTTGTACAGTTACAACAGAGGAATTGCATGCCGACCAAACTGGGGAAGAGTAAATAACAAAGGAAAAAACTTCCATTACAAAATAATATTGCTGAGAATCAGATATCCTGTAATTTCATATAAATTGCCTATCTGTTCTTCCTGGGGATAACTTTTATTGGCAAACCACGTTTGGGCACAGGGAAAGGGACATACTGTATTCCATCTTCGTCTCCCACAACTTTCCACCTGAAACCAAGCAAGAAGTTTAATTATGCATCAGCAAACGTTGGAATCTAAACTGAACTAAACCCAGCTAACTTCATCCAAATGGACAAGACTGAGCCAGGTCAGGACAGGCCACAGAAAAGATGTGGTGTGGCGGAAAGCGTGCAGGAAGCAAAGGTGTGGTGTCGGAACGTGGACTGCCATCTCAGCAACCACAGACACATCATCAAAGATCAAACTAACTGTCTTGGTTCTTACAAGTAGGAACCAAGTTTTGATAACAGCCGTCTGATCGAGACTGCACAAGATTAAGATGAAGGATAACATGATATAATCCCCTCGAATGCATTGTTTTGATTCTATGATTGTGTTGGATAACTTTGGAACTAATAATATGGACTGATGTTGAATTTTCGAAGAAAATGTTCGGAATGATATAGATTGATGCATTGGACTATTCTAAATTTTGTACTAGTTCATCATTAAGACATGTCCCCACCGTGTACTACTTTATGTCCACAAAGCTAAATCTGTCGTTATAATATATATTTTTTTTTTAATGATATGTACTTTTCAAAATTAATTTTTTTTTTAATTTCGTTAAAATAAAACTATATCTAATTCTTTTTCAATTTTATTAATGAGTCGACGACTAAACTAACCTTTAAAGATGGTCTGACCACTTTTTCTCTTAAATGGAAACCTTATGTAATGCTTAAAAGGGATAGGACTTAGGAGGCTTAGGACTTAGGAGGCTTAGGACTTAGGAGGCTTATTCAGTCTCCAATCACCAATGAGACCAAGGACCACTTCCACGGGCTAAGGAACATTAGGGAAGAAGGACCACAAAACCGTGAGGCTAAAGTCAACCAAGGGTGGACAAGCAAAATGCTCCTACTTCCTTAATTAGAGTTGGACGTGGCCCAACCGATGTCTTTCATTTCAATAATAAAAATAAATAGTGAATGTGTTATTTTATGAATGTATTTTAGACTACACTATATCAGATAACAAAAATTATTA